GTAGACTTGTAAATGTAAATTGTAGAAAAACAGTCTTCATTTATAACCATGTAGGCTACAAATGATTCATTTTTATAGTTATTGCGATATTTATTTTGATTATGAATGAGATGTATGTAGTTATGACATTTTTCACGGATTTAAAATATAACAATATACACAAGAGAACTCGTTGATTTTAGTCATGAAAACTTAGTTTATAGTTTAGTAAATTTATTACATGAATTGAATCACACTCTTATACAATGCATAGCGAGGTTTCATGAATTTATAAAAGCACTAGGGTTTTCAAAAGTACTGTGTAATTCTTAATGTGTACATGCATATAGTTGAAAGAGATGAATAATAAGATTTTAATTTTAGTATAGAATTATCTATGTGAATGATTATGTCACTTTGGTAAAACAATCAATCCAATGCCAACAAATGCAATATCAACTAAAGTATATCTTCAAAATAAAGTATGTGTAAAATTTCTAGAGTCTATTATGAATGAATGTTTATAGGATTTTGAAAAATTAAATCCATGTTTGAGTTTTTCAAAGTTCATATATAGAACTAACAAAAGTGAAATAATGAAACACAGAAGACAAGTACATATATATGAAATCATCAAAATAAATCACAAAAAAAGCAAAAAAAAGATGTACAAGGTTCATTCTAAGTCATGGTTACGTTCACAAAAAAATCCCAATCAAATAATAATGAAGTTCTTGGAGTCAAAATAACGAATGTCAACGTTGAGTTATATAAGTTGACAACTAATCCTTGCAATTAAGTAGAAGTTACTCAAAACCCGAATTAATTTTAAATAAATTTCCTTTAATTCATGTTGAAGGAAGTGTAATATCCACAACCTATAAAATTATTCTGCAAATTTTTTTAAAAATAAGCATAACAAAAGATCAAATTTTACTATAATTATTAGGGTTAACTATAATTAAGCCGTAGCCAAAATAATGTAGAGTAATAATATAAAGTAGTAACTAAAATCTTAATAAATTTTATCTGCGCTCTTCATGCAAAACGTGCACAATGTTATTTAAAAACATTCAATTGAATAATTTTGATCAATGGATTAACTGGATTGAAATTACGTGTTACCTTGACTACCTCATTGTTTCTATAAGATAACGCATGTAGAATAAATTATATATGATGTCGATGTGATTCATTATGCTCTCCATCATTTGATATGAAGCTAGTGTAGACCTCATAAATAGTGACATATGCCACTTTTGCCACTATTAACTTAAAAGTGACATCTCACTGTTCTTAAAAGTGGCATATATGATATTTTGTATTGAATGTGCGAGCACTCCACAGAATTGACGCAGATTGGCGAATCGGATCGTAGTGTACTCTTTTGTTGACGAGATGACATCCCAAGCATCGATGAAGAAAGTCTTCTTGTCGTGGCCGTCAAAAATCTTATTGATTGCAGCATCATTCTAGGCAGCATAGACCAGCTACTTGTTGTCAAATATGGGGCAAAAAAGCTTGAGAGCGTTAGCCTTTGAGATCAGTTAGCTATCTTCATTATACTCGTTAAGTTCAGGCTTGAAGAAAAAATTGCAAATTAACTTGTCGACAATCGCGACATTGCGAATATCAAATTTGGTGGTGTCAACATATGCATGAATTTCCGATCGCTGCTTCTAGTCGAAGAAATTCTGCTTCTATTTGGTACTAAGCATCTTGTAATTCAACCAATCTTGCGTGTGCACTATTTCCAGGTGCTTCCGGTACAATTTCGGGCGAAATGGTGAACAAAAGAAATGGACGTTTGCGGTGCGTTTGCGCTTGACGTCGAGTTCCTTGCGAGTCTCCCTGACATTAAAATACAAAAATTGCATTGAACGGCAATCACATTATTTCCATCAGTGTTTTTTTCCACAATTTTCAAGCCGAATTCAAGCTCGTGGCCATAACCAAAGGGCGTATGACGCTTCATTAGTAGTTGCAGAACGTAATGAAGTGGTGAGGCAGAATGCTAGAGGGTTAGCTATATTCAAAAACGCAGTGTGTGGATTTTAGACATTAGCGTTCGTGGTCATATAGACCTTCAACTGATGAACTAAGACTTAAATGACTTAAAGTTAACCAGTGACATTTTGGCATTATTAGTAGTGGCAAAAGTGTCATTTATTTTTAGAAAGCCAATATTTATGAGTTCTGAGCTAGTGTTAAAGTCTTACTCAATTTCACCTTAGTGATAAGCTTATTTAATTTTATAGCTTGCTTTTCTGCTTCTACTGTCGATACATACTTAGCTCTACTTGTAGATTAAGTTATGTAATTCTGCGAGTTAGATATTCAATTGATGCTTCAATGTAACAATTTATAGTTTATTAGAACTAAAATAAAAGTTACTCAAGACGAAGTTATAATTACTTTAGAATGAATTAGTTATAATTGCCATTTCTGCAATCATTGTGTTTGGTAAATAGAGAGTAAAACGTCACGTCAATAATATCTTTGCTTGGTAGGTAAAAATTGAGTGTGTTAGTTAAGAGCATCATGTCATCGATTTATATGATTGTTAGTGTAATCCACCATGCCATATATAAACTAGAAGTGGAATAAATGATAGAGATGAGATTTTATATCTTTGTATTTGTTGATATATTCTATATGAGAGAAATTAGAACTATTGTTGTTATCTTTTATCTTCAGAGTTTATGTTTTCATCTTCAAGTAAGATAACTCTTTAAATCCTAGTGTTAAAATTATTCATAATCATTGTGTAAACATCAGGATAATACACACTTCATTAAAAATTTAGTGATTTTATGAATTCATCAAATTGCGTATTACACTGTCTAGTAGTGTGCTTAAATCTTTAAAGTGATTTTAACAATCTACAAACCAACTTTTACTTATCTTTCACCTGAAAGTTACTTGATTATCTCATGTAAATTTTTTCCTGTAAAGATCCATAGAAAAATAGCGAACTATGTACATGTGATCTATAATACGACTAAATATCTCAACCAGTGCACATAACCGACAAATTGTAAGAATTATCCAAATATTAGACTTTACGCAAATAGTCGTGATTGCCCAAATGTTCCCGACATATCTACAACTGTACGGCCGGCCAACGACAATTTGCGTGATATATTTTTTGCATTTGCTACAAGTAAAAATTTTCATAAAATCTCATCTCATATCTTCATCTCAATCTCATCTCATGTCTTTGCTCGGCTACTCCAAGGCTTATACATTATTTTGAATAATTCAAATTCATAATCTCACAAAGAAGTTAACTTAGTGATGATTCTAACTATCTAAATATTGTTATCATTCCGATATGATATTCATAGTTTGTGTTTTTAAAGCATCTATCGTAATTAACTTTCTTAAATAAAGATCATATTCAATTTCTAGTATTCTTTCTCTGTCTACAATAAATTATGATTCTATTTATTAATGAATGACGGAATTAATGAACATGAAAAAGATGCATATGTATTATTTTAACAATTTAAATTATGATATTTAAAAACTGCTTTATTCTAAACTTCTTGTGAAAACAATATATAAGCAAAATTTATATTGCAGATTGATTGCATTCTTATTACAATTTGAAAAAAAATCTCTTTTTTATTCATATATAAATATTTAGTATATAAAATAATATATGTACTTTATTCTTAAATCTATGAATTATGTCTCAAACCTGAAGCATTCCTTCTTATGTAAGTATATATACATACATAAAGAAATCAAATTTGTTTCTTGTTAAATGTAAAATGTTTATATATAGTCTTACTTGGAAATCGTAAATATTTACTGCTGAAAAATTTCAACATGGTGCAATGTTGACACTGCAGTGAAGGAAAGCCAATTGGTATCTTCCGAAGTTGCTCATGACAATATACCATCGCATTTGTAATTATACCTATATTCACTGATATTACATACAACTGGAGGTTGCTCATGACAGATATACCACCTTCCGAACTATGGATCCTACCTTTAATCACCTAGAAAATATAGACCCCCGTGAATCATGCGTGTTTACTCCAATTTAGAGAAGAATGATAAAGGAAGAGGCCAGTGCACTTCACATTTCCTTCCGTTTGTGCTCATGGTCTTCTCTTCCCTAGTTATGCATCCCTAATTCCAGTCACCCACTCTTCGACAACCTTATCTACCATTGCTGAGTGATGTGATTTGTTCGCCTACTAGTATATTTTACAGACCCTAAGGCTAGCATTAGATAGTGGCATAAGAAATAAAAAATGGAGTGGATCTTGGGTTCCACAAACCTTCTGTGTACTCTGCAGGAAACGGCGATGTTAGTAACCATGTAATACAGATCTGCGCATTGTGATCGTTAACTTCATGCTCCGCTCTTGTATTTATTTCTGTGTATCTATTCGCGAAAGCTTCTCCGCTCCAAGTCCATCAACGCCATCGGTAAAGAATCATTTTCTACAGAAATTTATTTCGGCCTTGTTTTTATTTCAAATTTCAAGTCTCTAGTGTCAGTCCAACGAAGCCTATTTGTAGACATTATGCAATCATGTTAAAAATCAGTAAATAGAAGATACCTTGATGCTGTCATAGGATCACCCAATGAACATGTGTTCCAAGTTAATGTCTCCAAGGTACAATATGCTTCGTTCCTCAAGGTATTGGCATATAGACCTACCTCCCATGGTGGCCAAGTCTGTGCAAAGTCAGTGATATCGATTGCCCGAAACTGTGCCTGGCAATCAGTGTCTGCCTCGGAGCCTCATTGTACGATCACACACTTCGCATTGACAGACTGTAAATGATCCCTCAATAATCTGATGGTAGACGTCACTTTTACGAGGTAAAAGCCACAAGTCAGCATTTTAACTGTGATCCACACCTTCCATAAATCACTTCCATAAATCACTTGAGAGATACTCGGCCCGAACGCAGAACACGTACAAACTTTGCTGAAAGCAAGCCATAGTCACAGCTTACGACGGGAGGGAGGACGTAAGGAGAAATTTAAAACAGCAGTGAGCAATCAGCTGAAAGCGAGATACACATCTTTACATTACGCTTGATAAGGCGTGCGATTAATTTACAAACCCGATGTACAGATCAGGCAGGAGAAATGTGCAGAAAACCTGTGAAATTTCCTAGTAGCAGGTGGATGAACATCTCCCACAAGGCATCCTTCGCTCAAACTAGTTCTTTCGGCCGCAAAGCTCACGCTTAAAGGAAAAATCTGACCCTTGTTGTCACTGAACTCGTCGGCTTCATGGATGTACGCTTATACCAAGATTTATCTATCCACTACACCTAACCAACCCTTCCAACTAGACCTAGATATATAAATGACTTCAGTGAGGACAGGAGTGTGCAAGGCCTAAAAAACAAACGTTTCTTCCAGACTGCGCCAAGCTCAACGAAATGTGGCATGAGAATTCACTCGGATACACATGCGCTCAAACAAGACGTTGAATTCCGGCGATAAAGCGGGAGACAGGGTACGTTTCACGAAGATCGAAACCTCCCAATCACCTAAGGGGTATCAAAACTAGGGTTTGCCACACATCCACTCGCTTAACATAGCACATGCATGAGACACACTCTGTACGACCTAGACATTTAATAGAGCAAGATGACCGGAAGACTCACGCCTGAAGTTTTACCCCGCATGTGGAGAACTAAGAAACAGGGCGAGCTGGATTTATGGACTGAACCATGAAGAGCGTACAGAAGCAGAAACAGGGAGAAAAGATGTACGCTCGAAGCAGTTGCGACCGATTGTGGGAAATCAAGACCGGATTTTCAGGCGGAGTTTGGTGACAGGGACGTCCTGGTGGAAACTCAAGAAGTAACAACTACTAATGATCCCAAGCGCAACTGGAAAAACGCATCAAAAGGAATCTTCGAAGAATCGGTCCAGAGTACGGCGTCAACCCAAGAACCACTCAGGGCCTCAACAGACTCCATCCTCGAAGTGGGATCGTTCAGTAGCGACGCTCATAGTATGGAGGTGGCTGCCAGGGAGCATGAATATAACTATGAAATGGTATAGCAATAAGGAGGCCTATGATGATAACGAAGAGAAACATTGATGTGGCGGGATCTTGCATCATTGACTCCACGATAGGAGAGTAAGAAATGCGCGGTCCTGGCGCATTCACTTCAGGCATACCCACCGCATGAACGATCAGGAATATGCAAACAGGAATAAGGAGGGCGCCCAAGAAAAAGTGAGACTGTATTGACTCCAGCGTGTGCTGCATGTAACTTGGATCCACTTCGAAGAAATTCGAGAAGCTCAACATCACCCCAACTATTGCCAAGATGACAATGGGAATTATTGGAGAAGGCCCCTCCTGGGCCATAGCCATTTGCCTTCCTTCAGTTGCCATTCCCTCTCCGTCCAACTCTGCGATTCAAATAATCTGTGTCCTCGGAACAAGATCGGCTGTGCTCTCCAACTCGGTCACAGCAGAATGCGATTTTGAGCCTACTTTCGATCCAGCTGTTGATGGTAAGCTCAGGGCGCATGCACACACGAGTACACTGTTTCGAAAAGTACTTCAATACGCGACCAAGATGCACCAAACGATTTCAGATCAGCTCAGAAACACAGAATTCCCTCTTTCTTCTCACTAACCCAGTAGCACCGCCAGCGACGTCCAAGAACGAGTCGGAGCGGAAGCACGCTACACACCACTCCTCAAACGACCTCGAAACAGTGAGAGTGATAGTCGGGATGCGAGAATGAGCCCAACGCTCGGTTCAATCGACCAGCTCCCTTTCTGCCGTACAATACACGCAGCTCGAAGGTCTCTCTTCCGCAAATTTTGCTCACCTTTCTACAGCTACGACAGCGATAAGCGCTCCGTCGAATCTAGAGTCCGTCCGCGACCTGGTGACCAAAGGAGGGCCTGACCAGCCAACACGTTATCAACATCCGACTCAAGCACCGAAAGCAAAAGACTCGTGGATGTCAATGCTGACTACAGTAGTGCGTGCAAGGGAGGGGCGGGTGGTGGGCGGGCGCTGCAAAATTTCGCCTCCGAGTCTAGAGATCCGCGTGCAGGAGACGGCCAGGGACAGACACTGTGAGCGGCAGTAAAGTACCGCGATCATCCGCTTGTGCTTATCGCAAACCAGCGCCAGTGGCAGGGAGCGCTAAATCTGCACTTAGAGAGCTTAAGATTCTCACACGACGACCACTTTATCCATCCACCGATGTCTACAGCTCCGGGCAGCGTGCGCGTGGTACGAAAATGCGAGCCCGCGCCCCGCGCCTTTACAAAGAAGCGCGCCTGTGGAGCCCGGCCGTGCAAGTGTGAACCTCAAGTAAACCCCCCGCTGCGACCCGGGTATCGGGTTCTTTTAAATTACAGTTGCGGGTGCAGATGCGTCACATGCTGACTTGACAAGTCGAGGTGGGGCCCACCACGGACGCCATTCCACGGAGCGTGTAAGTCCGAATATGGAGTTAACGGTTAGCTCCAACGAGATCCCGTAGAGCTCCCTACACGGTGGAGGAGTTGTTGACCCTGGTTCGGTCGCCGAGCAATGGGAAGGCCAGTAAAGTGCGCGTGGGCGTGAAACAAGTGGAGCAAGCACCTGAAGCCTGACACGAGTCTGGGATCGCCTGGACTGGTCTCATGATCGACCAAGTGTGGTCCCGCTGCGTGTCTCTGAGACAAAAAGAAATCAATTGTGGTAGGCCGATCGTTTTCGCATTCGCGCTTGCCGCATCGTGCAATGCTTTGCTTGTTCTCCTTGTTTTTTCCTCAGACTGGACACGGGCACGGCACACCTGCTCTCTCTAATACTCTTCCCAAGATTGTTTTCAAGCTGCTTCAGAGACCGCAAGGAAGAGACCTTGCGGATGATGATGATGATGATGATTAACACTGAAGCGGACAGACCTAAGCAGATCACGATGACCAGATGACCAGAAGGCGATAAGGTCTCCAGTAGTGCGTCAGGGATGATGCGTTCGAGATTCAGAATTCCGTTTGTCTGCCTGTCCAAGACAGGCCTCCAGCAGACCTACTCCCAGTTTGGAAGGAGGAAAGTGAAACGCACGATCCTGGACTGCCCGTCATCTGCTTCACCAGCTGAGCTGCCGGACAAAAGTTACAACAGAATGCGGTTTCACCTCGTAAATCAATGTTTTGGATCGTCGACCGGAGTTGGATTCAGGTGTAAAAACTTGGACCTATAACTACTCCAGACACTTTACGTGCTGCAGCCTGCAATCTTGTCGTTTGGTTTACAATCAATCGGAGAGGCTTCTGAACAGACGGCTTCTCTCGAAGGTTGTCCCTTCGAGACAACGTGCGGAGATGTCACTTGTTCGCAAGGTTTCTGTGACTTCCAGACTCTAGTAGATTCGACCGGCGAATGATCGAACCAAACAGCCACAGAAAGCTCCTCACTCTCCTACCAGACAATGAAAAGATTCCTGATGAGGGGGGTTTTGCCACATGCTTCCCTCGCACTTTCATTAGTCTCGTAGAGAACTTTTGTTCACCATGAGTTGCTCCACTGCTGGGTTTCCTACTGGTATCTCAAACGCTTCACAACATGATGGGACGCCGAAGTGGGCAGATTGCAACCACTCTAGCCATTCTTTCCTGTCTTTTTCCGTCTTGTTCTCTACTTTGGTTCCATGCCCGATTAGGCCCCGCGGCTTGAAAACAATACTCACCCGCTGTCTGTCAGGCATCCCAGACACATCTAATCTGATGAAGAGAGAAATAGCAAAAATAAAATTCGTTTCTACTACCGAAATTTTTTGGAGTAGACTCAATAAATTCTGAGTAAGGAATGATAGCTATTAATATGTGCAATTTATGAGATTTGCAAGTTTATATCGACCATCAAAGTATCATTATATTTCATACTGATTTATCTATTAAATATTACTTTACTTTTAATTTTAGATGGTATAAACACAATTTTTAAATCTAAAAGCTATTGAAAGGTAAATGAATTTCCTCCATAATTATCTACACACTCCTTATGTTTCAGTAGTTACAACATTGTTTTGAAACAACTTGAAAAGTAAAATTTAACAGCATACTAAAATCATATTCGGCAAAAAATATTTGATCAGATATTTGACTATATGATGAAAATGTTTTAATATGTGAGGTGAATGTATAAATTGGAGGTATAGATTACGTAGGTCATGACCCTATGGAAACTGAATATTTAGCGGCCAAAGAGTAACAAAGCGATCAATTTGATTCAATAGCAAAGTACAAATGTGAATGGTGGTTACTGAAGTAAATTACACATTCATCGATGATTCATGTCACAACTGCTACAGTTTATAAGTTACACATACATCTCATCAAGAACAGTATGTATGATCCATTTTCAAAACCCATTGTTGGAATAACAATAGGTTTACGACGGGTCTGTTTGAGTAATAAATATCTCTCCCAAAAATAATGGATACCGGGTCATATTGATAAAAGTTGCATACCTAAACATATATATCTGAAAATAAATAAATAAATAAAATTACGATATTCGCAAGAAAACCTGGAGTTGAAGAGGTATTTGCGAATTGATATGAATGCAATAATGCCGGGTCAGGTTCTTTGCATATTATCGCAAACCGTACATTTAAGAAATCAAACGGGTGACAGGGTAGCCCCATTGGGTCTTCTGCAGTGGTATACCTGATTTAGAGCACTCAATCCACACTAACAAGTTCGACCGCGAAGTTGTGAGAAATGTAGTGATTAGATCAACTATCCTTTTCCAGACGACACTGCGGGACGCCTTCGGATCTGGGGATCCTTGTTATGAATAGATCTCTAACCGTCTGCGTCTAGCGAACATCCTCTTCCGCATATGTTTGTGATTGTTGGTCATGAATGTGTCGCCGCGTGGGATTTCGTCCGATTGTTTGTTAAATAATTTGCACCATGAATCCGCCATGAAATTTGTGGTGCAGAGATTTTAACAACGCTCGAACTAAATCCTTTTCGTGAACCATAAGTTTGTCAACCATAGGGAGCGTTTGTATCTACCGACCTGGTTCTGAGAGATTGACTTCACACTCAGGTCAGTTGTTGTTGTTTGGGATGTTGACATTTGTCTCATCAAACATGATGTGCTGAATCCCGAGCAAATCATATTTGTGGTAGTGAAAGTGGAGACCCGTTCATTCAATTTTACTATGTGTTGAACAGTTGTGACAGGTAATCAGCCGAGCAGACAAGCAATATAAAAATCTTTGGCACATTGAAGATTTTTTTAGAAATAATGGCATGTACGAGGGGGAAGGACTAAGTCCATTCTAGTTGACAATTTAGAACTAGGATGAACGACACTGATTGGGTTAACGTTGCGGCTTACAAGGGACATGGAGGAGACGAATTCGCGAAGGGGACAGATTAAAAATTTGAACACTGAAGTGGGAGCTAAATTGCCCGGGATCGAAATAGCGGGATTTTGAATCTACATGTGTGTGTTCACACACCTGTCGTCTGGGAATTAATTTCTCGTTCTTTTTGAGAAGAAAAGTCGTAAGACTCTGGAAAGTAATCCGACGACTGAGTATTGATTGAACAAAGCAGGAAATCTATGAGGAGAAAGAAGAAGATGATATGCATTTACCTTCAAGATTACGGTTGATTGAAAAGAGATTAGATTAAAGCCAGAATACAAGACTAGAGAGAAACAGAAGTTTACCACGAAGATAATTGTTGAGGTGTTCACACAGTTCACATAACTGAATCAATGATCAGTTGTGTTGGACGAGGAAGTGTATATAAGGAAGTCGTTCACATCTGACAAGCAATGGAGTGTGCATGATTAAAACTGGTTGTTTCTTGAGGTTGCCCTGCATGCCGTATTCAAGATGATGGTGTGCGTGGGAGTTGGTAGAAGGAAGAAACGTGCCTCTCGCCGTTAGTTTTCGTTGAGCTGCGAGACAGTCACGGAAGAATAGGGTGAATGTGGCTGGGTGCAGGCTCCTATTGCTCTGTAATCCAGTCTGTTTTCTGACAGCTCAAAGGGTAGTGGGATCAATTTGCGAATAACACGAGAGACAGCTTTCAGGCGGAAAGCGCTCTATGGTGAAGCATTCTTTTACGGATTTGCTTACATCTGCAGCATGCGTTTGTAATTTAATTGCTGCCGTTTTCTGGACTGCGGATTAGTGTTGGATAATTCTATAAGTCTGTACAGCGTTTGAGTTTCGCTTAATGCTCACACACATTTTCCCTATTAAAAAGTTTTTGTCGTTTGCATTGCGTCTTCATCTTCATCCTGAGCCAATGCAGAATTCCAAAGTCTGGTTAGTCGAAGTTTAGTAAGAAAGCGACTTTCACCATTTCGATACTTGTTTCCCTTTTTTCTCGTTTTACTTCACCACTCGCCTTTGTAGAAAGACAGAACTCCTATCTCTCCTTCCAGGGGCTGTTACTTGATCACTATTCTTGCACTCTTCAGCTTTCTTTTCATCACTACGTGTCACACCGCATTGACACTCGGAATTGTTTCGCATGCTTCCCTGAAGAAGCAGAAGACTCACGGCCAATTCCACTATTTTCTGATTTTCTTTTTCTTTTCATGAATGTACGATGGAACTCTTCCAATCTATCATCATTCAGGGAATCAAGGGTTTAAGAATCACGAATGCTCACCTTTCGTAAGGTTTCCTCTAGCTTTTGTGATGTTCGGTTGTTTCCTCGTGTTCATCACTTGGAGGTCTCCGTACTCAGTTGGAGAAGGATGTGAGGGATGACGTCAAGAAGTAGCCCTTGCGCTTGAGCTGGATGTCATTCCAGTTTAGCTGGTAGGGTGTTAAAGGCGCCAGAGTTGTTTACAAGTCCAAGATTCAAAAGCAGGTGAATTATGGCGAGCATGGAGCAGGATAAGAAGGAAAAAGTTTATGTGATAATTCGTGTCCGGCCATTAAGCAGAGAGGAGGCCACGGCGAGGAGCCCTTGGAAGCTTTCTTCCAAATGCATCGCTTCAAACAAGACCTGTCGACCATCCGTGCCGAGCCATTCCTACACATTTGGTGAGAATTCACTCTTGATATCGACTTTTTGCTCTATTTCTAACTCTGGAAGGTTTGAAACAGTGGGAGCCAATTGAGATGCGTTTGAGAGCAATTGTAATTGAACCCCAAACCGTTTGAAAGAACTCAGATCACCTTGAACTCCCTTTTTGAAATCTGAAATTACCTGAATTTACTTTTAGCTGAAGAAATAACGTTGCAATCAAAGCTTCTTTGCGCTGTCTATTCAAACCCCTTGTTAAGAACTAGATGTAACCAAAGCTCCATTCGCTTACAGTGGGGCTTTAATGAATTCATATCTTGTGATTTTGCTAAATTAACCTTACACTGCGCTCAGTTTCACCTTAAACGTGTATCCAAACTTAAATAGCATATGAGTAGCTGGCCCTGATATGCATCACGAGCCGATTTACAGACAGGATATATGGCACGAAACCGCCCACATTGGACATTTACAACGCTCATATCAAGGACATCATCATGACAACCATGTCTGGAATAAATGGTGAGTATTTCTTCTCTTGAGAACACTGTCTGACGTTTACGTTGTTCATGTCATTCTGCTTGAAAAAGGTTGAGTGGGCAAGATCTCCAGGATTTGCTCCAGTCATTATAAGAGATGGTTTGAGAGGTGTTAACTATGATGTCAAATATCCAAAGGGATATGATTGTAAAAACCTATATTGAGTCAGGTATATTTTGCTTTGTCTGTGTTCCTGGGGACCTAGATCACAATCTATCCTTCAACTTTCGCTAAGGATGTCAGGGTTATCGTGGTAGTTTGCACTGTTCAATGCAGTCCATGATTTGCCATCTCAACAGAAATTCAACTTTGGTGAAGTACATGGTGTCTAATCTTACTTATTATGTACATCACTCTTCATCCCAATGCTAGGAACTGTCATAGCGTACGGACAGTCTCGCAGTGGGAAGACATTCACTTTGCGAGGATCGTCTGAAGAAGTGGGCATTCTCATGTTAGCCGTGCAGGACATATTTCAAATTGTCCAGGAGGTGGGTAACAATTGCAAAAAGTTGTGGCCAAAACCATTATGCACCGGTTATGAACAACTTTAGATTCACGTCAAACCTTGTTCTGGGCCTTGCAGTAGATAGATTAAATTTTCCAGACAAGCTGTCTTTCAAGCTTATGCCATCAATATGCTGTGAAGTGGCAAGCAGGAATATATGTCTCCCAGTCTCAATAGTCGATGGCATAGGTCTTGTAACCCATATCGAACTCTCATATTACTTCTGACGCCACGTTGAACAACACAGGCCTCCAGCAGAGAATTTCTTATTCGCATGTCCTACTTGGAGGTTGCAAACAACGAACTGAATGATTTACTGGCATCGAAGAGCCACAAGCTGGATGTCCGTGAAGATTCTGAGGCACGCGCATTTTCAACCTGTTGTCAGCCTTGGCCATAAGCATTACTTACAGTTTAGCAATGGGATGGGAAATTGTCCATTTTTGAGATTGGAGGCCACAAGGCTGAGATGAAAGGTCCATGTCTGAGTATTTCAAAATGAAGACAAATATGTAATTAACCAGAGCAGTTCATGATACAGAATCTGTCTCTGTACAGCTTGGAGTTGTTATTACAGGGTCAAGAGAGGAAATTGTGAACAAGCCGGAACAAGTTATTTCGCTTCTTGATTTTGCAGAAGGTGAGTGAATATCTCTTTTTGGATGACCTTCATCTTGAGGGTTTGAAGAGTCCAGTGTCGTTTTGACAGTCATTTGACCTTGAACAAAAAGTTATATTTTTGGACAAAATAGATTCTAGTCGACGTAGCTATTTCACTCACTTAATACTCCTGGTTTGAAACTCAAGCTTGTTTGGCAGCACGTCGTTCAGCTGAGTCAACTAACACGAGTTATGGGCTTTCACATTCCGTCTTTCGATTGGTAAGATCTGCACTCCCCATGATCGGCTCTGAAGACTTCAATTGACACTTTCAGAAACGAAGGTTCTCTTTGCGTGTGAATCTAGTCCCGAGCAGTTCAAAAAGCTTAAATTCTTCATCATCATCATTTGCACCTAGGGGTCCACGATGACGATGGATGCTTTGTTCTAATTCTATGGCTTCGATACTTCTAGGGCTTTTATCTCTTGATATCTATATGAACATGCCGAGAGCAGATTTGTACGAAACTAGTTAACAGATTTGTGTCGTTTACTCTCTGTATGTGCTTTTACGAAATATTTTCCTCTCCGATCATTTGTTGTTATGTGTTCTCTGGACATTTCGAAATATTCCAGATTCTTTATGCTGCTCGTGAATCATGTATTCCTATGCATTCAAACACCTGCATTTATCCCAATATTCAATAGGTTTAAAGTTCGCGGTAACATGGTTGACGCGAGTTAATCTGCTTTCGGATTTCTTGACCTCTAATATTCTACATAAGAGCTTCAGAATTACTTTTTATTGTTTAATTATTGAATTTTAATCTTGTGTGCACACGCAGAATACACACCTGATCATCTGAATTTTGATACCGATTACTATCTGCGGGAACTATATAACCCTGCATGATGTTTACGTGAAGGCATAGTTTCAGCTGAGATATGGCGAATTGTCGCAGGTCATCGAGAGCAGCAGCCTGGAGCAGCAGAAGAATTCATTCGATGCACATGAAAGAGATGGATATCAAATTTCTGTTCTGGTAAGAAGACTCACTCGGAGCCTCACTTCAAATCCATTATCAGAATATTTTATTTCTTTGACAGGCTAGGTCTCCGGCCCTCTCTCCAGGCCCTCTTTCTGCTTCTGTGTAGGAACTTTCTTTGTTTGGACATACTTCATTGTTCTCTCCAGGGCTCTCGATGTTTTAGGTCGTGTCTTAAGTTAAAGGTGTGCTATACCATATCTACAACTAGTCTGGTCCACAGTCCTAGAAAATCTCCGTGGTCTCTGGGGTTTTGAGTGATCTTGAACCCCGAGCAGATGTTGATGGCCCCTGGTTCCTTTTCTTGCATCCGATTCGACACATACCGTACTTCCCTCTATCAGCGCGTATGCGCTCGTTTGAGTCTTTGAACCATGTTATATTTTCTGTATCTTGTACGCGCTTGTCATCCCATGGATTCTGGCTGCCTGCTTTCCATTTCCACAACTCACATGCAGGCTTCTGTCCTGGATACTCTTTGAATGTTTGTCTATAGAATCCGTCGCTTTCTTCACCAGGATGCTATGCCATGTCTCGTGCCCGTTTTTTATTACAGATCAGACCCGAAAGTTGGCAGTTCGAATGAATCAGCTCCTATGGTTCTCGTTATGATTCCACCTCCCGGATCTCTGCTCCTGGGTCTCCCTTCCGTGTTAAGCCCTTGCGGTGGATCACGTGCTATTTCAGCTGTTTTCTTGATTTCTTGATTAGAAGAAGTTAACCTCTGGGGATTGTCCACTGTATAGGCAACATATCTGTTTTGTACTGGTTTTCCCCTTTGATAAATGCTTTCACGTTTAAGCTGACCGTCAAATTGCTGGCTATGTTTTCTCTCCGCATATTTGCATCAAAAAATGGTCCCTTGTGATTATTTGATCCCTAATAAAGTCTGCATGCAAGTATCCGAACTTTATCGTAGAGTTCTATTACCACAATGCTACTAACAGGGATAAGTTTCACGTAACAGAACCTTGTCGAAGTAGCCGCAGAGAAATCCAATCTTGGGAAGAATGAAAATTCTTCTCAAGTGGGAGTGCAACCTGACAAATGCTTGGCAGCTTTACATTCTGTCGTCAGCAAGTTGAGCGAGGGTGCTTCGATCGAGGGGTAAGTGAAATATTGGTGGTTTCTGCCGAGCTATTACCTGATTGTGCGCTCTATATCTTAGGCATGTGGAAGGATGATTTTCTTCCCCCGTGTGATATCATTGACGCAGTGAATGTATTCCTTCAAGAGCCAGAATCAGAAGATCTTTATACTAAAATTGAAACACGAAGTCTTTCCGTATATTGTGGACGTCAATGTTGCTTGTTGTTGGTACTCAAATCACAGTGAAATCAAGAATTAAGCAAATGCATCTTGTTGCTGACCTCGCTTAATATTAACCTAAGAACATAAGAAGCTCATGGTTTTGATGTGCAGAAATAGTGTGCCTTACGCTGAAAGTAAGCTAACACAAATTTTGCGTCCATCACTCGGAGGGAGCGCAAGGACTTGTGTTATTTGCAATATCTCCCCAGCCATGGTCAGCAAGCATACCTTTATCTTAGGAGTCTTTTTTCTTGACATTTGCTTGTAAATGGTTGTATCGTACTTCTCTTGTGGTTAGTGCCTTACTCATATTCTATGGTAACTGGCAATTCAGCTTTATTCCAACTGGATGTTGTTGAATTCTTTGTATTCCTTTATAAGAAACCTGCAATGTTCTAGAATCGTCTCTCTTTCAAGAGCTCAGTACTGCGAACGAATATGGTCCACTCAGAAACCATAATCCAGACCTGGGACTACAGACTGAGTACATCAGTAAAATTTCTTTAAGGGGCGTACTAAGAGTAGCTGATTTATTCTGGTTATGGTGCAACTGGTTTCGTTGTTAATTTCAACAGGGTTTTTTGTCCACTCACCTACACATGTGTCATGGAACCGCGGTAATCGTTGTGTGGCAGGTCCATATGGATGCGACAATTGCATCACTAGAGTTTGCTTCAAAAACAACCAAACTGCTGAACTGTTTCAAAGTGAATCAGGTATCCAGGCTTCTGCTTAACCATTGACATGGCGCGTCGGTTTGGAGGCATCTTTCTTGTTTTATCTTTTCAGCCAATTTGTAAAAGTATTGAAGGTAGGGACGATGACGACAATAACAAGAATGTCGCAATTAATTGCTTTGTCCAAGGAGAATGTTATTTGACTGAACTGCTTAAGAGTGGTGGTAGAACATCTCAATAATATTAATTGTCAACGTGAATGAAGTGGTAGACTCAACGAGACTGGTCAATTGACATCTGACCTCCAGTGTTATTGATGCTTCAGGTGTGCACGGACAAGGCACTGTTGAAGCGCCAAAGACGGGAAATTATGGACCTTCGTAGCAAGCTTAAAGTGAGGCGCTTTCTTCTTGCTCTCTGCTGTGGTAGTACTTATTTCAGGAACACTTTGACATATTCTAGCCCTGATTTGCGAACAGTCAGTTCAGTTATCTTTCACTGAGTCTGGTCGTCGAAGAACGTGGTACTACCTCCATCTAGAACGTTGCTTTTTCCATCCTCACACCATTTTCAATAAAAATTACCAGCAATCAAAGTTTTTTAGGGGCAATTTCCTGTGATTGATTGCAGATTTTCAGCACATGATAAGTAAGTTGGGTAAGATGCACGTAATCATTCGATGTCAAAACAACCACAGAAAATATACCCCTACGAGCATTTTTTTGACACTGTCCATTTCCATGATACAGGAACTTCGCTTTCCGGACCTGGAAGAGGAGATCCTTAATCGTCGAAATGCCCTACTAATGGTATTCATCTGGCCTATAAAAGAAGTTCAAGAGAATTGGGTCATTCTTTGGCGGCAAAGTATTCACCTTCGCTTTCGTTAAGTTATTCAAACAAAATCTAGGATGTTTAGGGGAAATTACGTTTTCGCATTTTCATTGTAAGTTTGTGAGTTTCATTTTAGGTTCATTGGTTCCTAATTGTTATTGTATATTTGCTTGTGGGCTAGATTGAATTAGAAAGAGAGCAGATGTCTTTAGAGCTCTTTGAAAGGACTCCTTCAAGCTCCCAGGGAGAAAACAAGGAGCATGATCAAGAACCAAGGGGAGAAAACATACCTTTCGAGGGCGAATCTGGATTTGAGAAATGTTTTGATATGCCAATGGTAACGAATATCACTCAAGCTAATCACGGACCGATCTTCCATTATGGTCAAAGTCCATGAAGTAATTGAATTTATTATGTATCGAGACCGAGATGCTCCAGTCCCCGCCTGCTCATTTCTGCTTTGAGTTCTCTACTTTTCATTGGTTCTTAATATGAGGAGTTCTGCGTTACTACTGATGAAACATCCGAAGAAAAATATCAATTAGAAATATTGTTGAATTTCTTCATTTCGTGCTATAAAATGTCTTCAAGGTTCGGAGTGTGACTTCAAAATAGTGAAGTTTCTGTTGACGCCTGTGTTTCAAGATGAAGTGTATTGGACTTTCCTCCTGTTCTTGTTATCCAGTCTATGTTACCTGCGGAATCAGGGACGGCACAGCAGCGTTTTTAAGAAATTTCCCTGTCAAAGGATGGGCTTGCCGTTGTATTTTGAGGTAGTAACATCTGTGCATCTGACATCTCATAATTATCTCCTTGTCTACATGTGACAGGGTGAGTTCAATGATTCATTACAAAAGAAGAACTTGGCAGATTATCTTGGATACTTCAACTCTGCGCAAGGACTCCATGAGTTGGACCTTGATTTGCAAATGAATTGCACTGGACTTTGTCTGGGTCCATCTGTTGGAACGAAGAGGAAAAGGAGATCCTATACGACAGCTGTTGCAGATAAGGTGTTGTGGTAGAGCTCTTATAGTGAAGTCTACTTTTCCTTACACGCAACTAAGCCCAAAGCTAAGGGTTTTTTTGTTGTCAAACTTTCTCTTGGAAAAAGCTTCCTATTAAAGTATTTGAGCACTGTGCGTCCTTGAGATTGCTCACTGACATATTGACAGCAGCTGGAGCAGGTGGACTTGCTGTTTCAATCGAAAGTGGCTAGAGAAGTCAGCTGGATGAAGTCAGAAGGTCTAGCAGAACGTCAGAAACTTACAGAATTGCAAGCATTCATTGCTCAAGAAAACAATGAGCAACAGGAGCTTCTCACACAAGGAGATGAGAACTGCAGAACCTTGCAACGTCGAGTTGCAGAACTGGAGGCAGATAAAGTATTCAATCAAGACTATTTCATCTTCGTACAGAATCCAGTGGGTTCGTGATGTGCGCAGAAAACTACATTGTAGCTCTCTTGTTTATGTTTTGGTTGCTCTTTGAAAACATACTAGTAGAATTTGTCTGAAAATAAGTTCCGTCCTATAAGGTGAAGATCATAGTGAAGCCTTCTCTGTAGAAAGGGCACGATGTACATGTTTCACGAAGGAATATGTGTTAATTATACCTTTATGGTAAGTTTTGTGCTGCCTTTGTACTCTCAGATAGTACGATAGCTTTGTTAAATTTGGTCACAACACGTGGGGAAGAGGCATTTTAGAAGAGCTTTGTTCCTTTCACGATCTGTAAGCTAGCTCATCTGCTTCAACTTGAACAGGCATCGTTGGAGAAGAGGTTGAACGAGCAAGAAGTCTCTCACACGAAGGCAATGGAGGCTCTAAAGTATGAGCTTGCCCTGGAAAAGTCTAGACATAAAATGGTAACAGTGGCGGAGAAGGGAGTTAAGGACGCAGATAAAATTCATACTTCAAATGGTTTGGAAGGTCAACATGAGAGTTTCCACGAGAGACGACGTGGTTTGGAAGAAAATGCAGTGAAACAGAATACAGAAACGCAGTCTTGCACGTCACAAGAGGTTGAAGACCAGCAAAGGCTTTCAAAAGAAAAAGAAGGTCAAACCACCCCAACGAAAAGGAAGGCCTCGAAGGCTAATAAGGTATGCCAACAACGTCCTGAGAATCTGAACTACCACATCGATCATTTGCCTCCAATTCATTCTGTACGTAGCAACCCCTCAACTTCCAGTTTACATATGAGTACTAGCACATTAGGCAGGCCTTGCTGAAGTTGAGGTAAAATTTGAACTCATCAGTAGATGTATGATGATATACCTTCAGCGGTGTGGTTTTTGTGAACTTATTACACATTTTACATTCGCTGAAAGTTGCCAACCATCCCTTGTCCTATATTCGAGCTATGAAAACTTGCATGTTCCCCGATAACAGCGCCTTTGGAGTTCATGATATGTGGTTACAGGTATTTCAGAAGTTTCAGAGCTTCCAAGGTCGGTCAGAGCTGTCTAATGTGCGCAAGGAGCTTGCAGTTGCAAACGAGACGATTACGGTTCTAGAAGATGAGCGAAATAGTTTATGGAAAGATTTGAACCAGATGAAATCCAAGTTCAAAGAAATCTTGGGCAAACTGGAAGCAGACAATTTTGAGGTACGTATCGAGCACGGGATGTGTCGATTTGACACGTCCTTCCTAGCTCATGAAGTTCCCCCCCTGCTGGTTCCAGACGTCGTTTTTGAAAAGATTGGCCTTCATAATTTCGAAGTTCTAATTGCTGTGCCTACGCTCTCATGCGTCACTGCTGAAGCAGCTCAAAGGAATTCATTCACTTGTTGTGAAGATTTACAGATTTCGGTAGAACTGGCCTTGAGTTCATAAAAACTATAACTACAGGGATTTGTCAAAGTCTATTCAAGTTGATGTGAACAAGAATCGTCCAGTAGATATAAAGTTTTTAACATTCATTGAATACAACTCAACGAATTGTCAAACCTGGATTGCACAGACATGCATCCTGCTGGTTTTAGGATTCGCATTTTCAGTGAGTTTGGAGTGAGGCCTGCGACCTTCAACTGTTGATCGAACTCCAAGTTGAAATTCTCATAGCAATCATTTTCAGATACAGTCTGAATATGCTCCCCTTGAACGCGAATGTTTCACAAATCTTTGCAGGAAATACCAACCAAGATTCAACGTATGAGAAAAGTTGAATGATTCTACTAATTCTGACTAGATTCAGTTACTATCCTTAGGACATCCTCTGAAAAGTTAGCTGAACCACGGAACCACCAGCTGAAAGTTCCTCTAGCCACCGACCGCTCGCACCCTATATTCTTCACAGAGCTGTAGAGAACCCTGCCAGTCTGATAGGCATAGACAACAAAGTCCACTCCGGTGTATTCTGAGCATCATGAGACTAGGATTATCGGCAAGATAGATAGAAATCAAAATTCGTACCTTACGGAGACCTGCTAAGATAGAAACGGAGACTTTAACACAGATGAAATTTCCCTGCACTAGGAGGACAGCAGAGGTGACCATAAATTTCACCAACAGATGGCTGCTGCTGTGGATACGCTGAAGGCTGAAGTGGAGTCCACAGCATCCATAACTGATGGTCTACTCGCACTTCTATCGGAGAGCTTTCAAATTTTAGGCGCTGATTTGAAGAGTTTCCAGGTGTATGTCCTGGGCCTGACTGTTGCTGTCATATCTCATAATATTGACACTTACTCTTAACTCAAGAATGCTGCGGAAGTACGTGTTGGCGAGAGTTTCAGTCAAGAATCCACGTTCCAATTTAATTTACAACTTCCGTTTTTACAGGAAGGTGTGGCCGAAATCAAGGTTTTAAATGGGGCGCAAGCTGACGTGTCGGAGTCTTTAGAGTATGCCAAACTGCAACTATCGGCTTTGAGGCACGGGAAGCTCGCATCTGATAAAGAAGTCTTTTCTATGAAGTCCGAGCTTGCCAAGTTGGAGTGTGTCGTAGAGAGGCAAAGTGGCGTGCTGAAAGTGCTCTCTGATAATGAAAACTTGTTGAATGAGCTTGCTTCCGTGAGGGCAGCTATGAAAGAGGCTGCGGGAGCTTCTGAACTTCAGATGTCCTCTATTCAACAAGAGTGCGACAGTAGGTTGAAAGAGCTTGAATCTGATTATAAGCATTGGAGACAGGAATACTTGCAACTTGAGGAGGAACAAACAAAACTTCAAGACAAATTCTCAACAGCAGAAGCGGAAGTGATGCGGTTGACCCAAGCTCTAGATGAGAAGTCAAAGCAAGACAAGAGACCCGCAAAGAACATCAAGGCGAGATTAGCAGAAGCAGAGGCTGAACTTGTGCTCCTGAACGGTCAATTGAAAGAGAAATTACTCTTCGAGGAAGATCAACGGAAGGTTGAAGAAGAACTTGCTGACAGCAAAGCTGAGGTTGAAAAGTTAAAGAAAGAAGTAGAAGAGAGAACTAGGTTGGAAAAGGAACACAACCAAGCTTTGAGTAAACTTGCAAAGTTGGAGTTTGAGGTCGCGAGGTTGACTGCTGCAAATGAGGAAAATAAAGTGTTGGATCTCGAGCAAAAGAATCTCCAGCTCAAGCTTGAGTCGGAAATTGCCAACCTGAATAAGCTACTGGAGGAGAAGTCAGGAGTTGAAGAGCAGCAAAAGAAGATCCAAGCTGACCTTGCTACCTTGCAAGAGAAAATTGAAAATCTTACTCGAGAAGTTGAGCAGAAGGACATATTGGAGAAAAAGCAGTGCGAGCTTGTCTCTAGACTGGAAGTTTCTGAGAACGAGGTGAGAAGGCTGACTGAGTTGTTGGATTTTAGTAAGGAGCACTCAGAAGTCTATCTCGGAGAAATGTTGGAGAGATTTCGAATATCCGAGGCTGAAGTTGTAACGTTCAATGAGAGCCTTCAACGAGAGATTGAAGAGCGACGAAGACTACAGGAGGTGCACTGTAAGGACGTAAGTAACATCGAAAAGTTAGAGGCTGAGACCAGACGATTGTCTGAAAGCCTGCAACAGGTACTGGTGGAGAGAGAAGGTTTAGAGGAGGAACGCTTGAAACACGTCGACGTTATTTCTCGTATGCAGACCGAGATTGAAGGAATGTCACAGAGCGTTACTGCCATAACGGAAGCGAAGGAGTTCCTGGACAAGGAGAAGAAGCAAGCGCTCGCAGCTCTAGGTACCACAGAGGCTGAGTTGAAAAGCTTGGCTGAAGGCCTCCATCGTGAATCGGGTTTACGGGAGAAACTAGAGAAGGAGCTTACAGGAAGTCATGATGAAAATCTCAGCTTACAAGCAGACGTAGAGAAGGTGACTGAAACACTTCGGATAGCAATGGAGGAGAAAGACATGCTAGAAAAGGACCACCAAATGAACCTAGAAACAATCGCGATCTCCGAGACTAAAGTTCACAGGCTCTCTGCTAGCCTTCAACAAGTCTTGGAGGAGAAGATCTCACTTGAGGAGGAGCTCAAAAAAGGCTTAGTTGAAGTTTCCAGTTCAGAGGAAAGGGTCAAAGAACTGACTCAGAGACTTGAAAGGGAAAAGGAGAAATCTAAAAAGCTAGAGGAAGAGCTGGAAAAGGGGTTCGATGACCACACTAACTCAGAGTCCCGAGTTACCAGGCTGGTCAGATCACTAGACGAGGAAATGGAAGAGAAGGAACAACTTGAGATTAGGCTCGAGGCATGTACATCAAAGCTTGTCTCCGCTGAAGGTGACGTTGCGACATTGACCCAAAGTCTTACTAAAGTTTTACAAGAGAAAGTGGCGCTGGAGAAACAACACACCGAGACGCTTGAAACTTGCACTCGCTTGAAATTGGAGGTCGCAAGGTTGTCTGAAAGCATGAAAAGGGAGGCTGAAAGTCGCGAGAAGTTTGAGAGGGCTGTCAGTGGGGAGTTTGGAGAATGCGCAAGGCTTACTCCAAGCAAAACCCGTAAAGTAAAAGAAAGAAAATGCTCCCAAATGGACCGCGATGCAGCCGCTGAAAGAACTGCTAGTTTACAAATTGAGCTTGACGAGCTGAGAGAAAGCTTAGTAGAGGAAATAGAAACGAGGAAGCAACTGGAGAGGGACCATGCTCATGTCCTTGAGCAGCTTGGTGTGTCGAAGGCAGAAGCTGCAAGCTTGACTGAAAGCCTAACAAAAGGAGCCGAGGAGAGTCGAAGTTTGATGACTGACCATAGTCATATTCTTTCAAGACTTGCTACCTCGAATTCCGAGATCGCCAGCTTGAGTGATATGCTAGAGGATAAACCGCGCTTGGAGGAAGAGTTACAGAACTTCCAGCTCATACTTGCAAGTTCAGAAGCTGAAATAGTGCGGCTGAATGAGGAACTGATTGTCAAGGGTAGACTTGAAAGCGAGCACAGACGTACTCAGCGTGAACTCGCTGCGGCGGAGGAAGAAATTAAGAAGTTGCAGGATGAGAAGTCGAGATTGGAGAACTTAGAAAGGGATGTTCTGGTCCGATCAACGACTCCTGATACTGAATGGTTGAGGTCAAGTGACGTGACAGAGAGGACCAGACTTGCGGAAGAGTTACAGGTCGTACGCTCTGAACTAGCTGAGACTAAGGCAGAGCTGGCCATTGTGAGAACTGCTCTGAGTAAGAAGCTGGGCCTGGAAGAGGCACAGATCAAAACACAGATGGAATTGGTTGATAAGCAAGGAGAATGTGAAAAGCTCATGAAAGAAGTGCGTATAAACCGAAAAATGGTGAAAGAGCAGAAGAGACTTCTCCGCAAACTTACTAGCACCCAGTCTGAGGTTTCCAAATTGAAAACGGCCATTGTAGGAAAGTCTGAAGAGCAGACGAAGGATACACATGAATGCGATAGGGCGGCTGCTGAAGCGACGGGTCCAGTTGGCACACCTGGTGTTGGAACAAAATTGGACTCTGAGCTTTCGAGGATGCGGGAGAAACTTGCGAGTACAGAAATCGAAGTTAGAAGGTTGACGAACTTATTACAAGAGAAGGAAAAACTGGAGGGTAATAGTATTAATGTTCAGCTTGAGCTTGTTAGAGCCGAGAACGAAATTCAAAGGCTGGCAGCTGCCCTAGAGGAAACATCCAGTCTGAATGAGCTGTGGAAGGTTTTTCAGCTCACACGTTCAGACGGAGCCGTTTCAGCACCAAGAAACTTAAGCCTAGACGACTTTCTTACAGAGATGCTGGAAAGGGAAAAGAAGTTCAAAGAGCAGGAGATGGAGTTACAAACGAAGGTAGCTGCGTTCGAGGAAAAGAAGTTCAACGTCCTGGATATGAGTAAAAACTGGGGGAGAGATTACAAGTGCGCAGATTGTGAAGTATTTCAGACACTTCTGGAGAAGATACGGAAAGAAAGAGATGGGTTCAAGGAAATGTGTACAGCTGCTGAGATAAAATTAAAGACTTCGCAAGAGGAACTGGAGAATCAGAAAAAAGCTTTTGAAGTAGCAGAAAGAAACTGGAAGACCAAGGCTCAAAAGAATGAAAAAGATTTGGCAGACTTACGAACAAAAGTTACGAAAATGGAGGAAGGCACCGGGTGGATTGTAAGGGAGAAGGTAAACTTAATGCTGTTTAATGTCTTGCTCTGCTTGCCAGTAGCGTAGTTTATGCTCGAGGAAATATTGCAAGACTTATTGTCGAGAACATTCAAAACCAACGTGCTAAGCTCAATTTCAAACCTTACGCTATACCAGAAGGCGCTTGAGGAACGACTGAGTTGCAGCGAATCACAAATTGCAACTTTACGAGAAGCTGCCCGAGCAACAAACAAAGAGATGGAGGTGACTAGAAGTTCACCTGAACGGCCTATGGCAGTGTCTCAGTCAATTTTAATGAAATTAAAAAGTAGGAACTGCGTAATATTCGTACTCTTGTATGTGTATCAATATTTGAGACACTGCAGTAAAAACTTTAAACAAAGTAGGTCGAACGTGCACTACATTTTGTATTGGGTTTAAATTTTAATATCTAATATCCTAGTTCTCACCATGACTTAATAAGTTTGTGTTACTTGACGCATTATACAGGCTTCACTAACTCGCTTGATAAAAGCAGAAAGCTTGTTCAATTCCTTCACCATCCTAGTTTTTTTTTATTTTTCTTGTTACGGATGACTCAAGGTCTGAATGTATATGTCAATCTTATCACAGATGACCCATCACAAACTCCATCTCCTTACGACCCAGCACCAGTCTGATGTTGCTGCATTTTGTAATGAGCTTTCCATGAAAACTGTGAGTACATTGACGTTCATTTGTGTCCCACTACCAAGTTCTAGAAGCACTGACGTACTTTAATGGAAGTTTCTGAACAACACTTAATACGTCCAAAACTGCAATTTAATCAAAAAGGTTCATACTTGCAGCAACTTGCTTCTTTATAAGGAATTTGTGCTGGTTAGTTTCATGGTGTGGTTGCAACACTGGAAGTAGAGGGATCTTTGAGAAAAGGGCAGGAGTAATGCTCATGCAAACGACTAAAAAGATTACAAGTCAGGTTCTTGGATAGAGTATTGTGAAACAAAGTTTCTGCATATTAAGAACCATGATAGTCGCAGTCCATTCGGACCACTGACATTAAGTCACAAATGCAGACACGGATTGCAGAACTGGAAAAGGAAGTGAAGTCTTTCCTAAGTCATCCTCCTCCACCGGCCCCAGCCATGCCAAATGACTTTTCCAGTTATCTCAACTCTCCATTTAGACCACCGCAATGGCCTTATCCTCCACTGCAGCCACCACAGCAGCAGGCTCACCATCACGATCCCCACTGGGGTGCTGGATCCAATAAAGGACCACTGAGGTGAATCAGAATCACAAGTATTGAAAATGTCTACACATCCCGAGAGAAGGTCAATATCAAGGTAGTATCCAGGTAGGGTAAGCATTGTTCATCGCAACTAAATATTTGTCTGGGATGGGAGAAAGAAACGCAGTTGCTAGGTTTGTTATTGTTGAGAATCGTCTTATTGTTGAGAATCGTGACTTTCGACTTGGTCAGGATTTATGTTGCTCCAATAGCAGTCCGCGGATAGGGAGTGAAGTACATTGGGAGTCTCTTTCCAACGGGCTCTCTGTGTACCATAATTTATGCAAATTTCTACCGATAGCTTCCTTTACTCGAGTAGCGAAATCATGTTCAGGATCTCTGTGGAAGTTCACCACAATGTATGACCTTGTAATATGATGTAAAGTAGACTGTCATGTTACATAGTGCTGAAGTATAGCGCATCAAGAATCAATGATGCGTACGTAACTTTCGATTGCAAGATTCAAAAAGACTCAACTTTCGCTCGATATATCAGGTGAGTGAGCATACTCAATTTTATAAGAGTATCGTTTTCGGGCACCCTTAAATTGTTTCAGACCCAGCTTACAAAGCCTCTTTTCAACCTCGCAGATTGAGCTTAGATCTTCAAAATTTGTCACGAACTCCGAAATGTACAATCTACAAATGCTTGATTTGAGTTACCACGCTCTCATAGAACTTGAATGCTTTCTACAGTAAATCTTGCTTCGCCCACCAGGTAATGGGCGAAGTTATGTGATCATTCTCGGACTTAAAACCCCTTCAGTTTATAGTTGCACCCATGAATGTTGTTGAATATTGTTGGTTGGTCACAATCGCGGGTTGAACGTGCATCACAGTTACACTGACTTGTGTAGTATTGTCAAGGTGACAATACTATTAAAGACACGAAGGTGGAAAAACCTCATTTCAACCATATTTCACAGTACATACTGCCCTCGGTGTCACATCATACTCATATTTATTCCGCACCATTCAAAGGCTGAGGTCCGTCGAGCTGCCTCTACACCGAGAAAGATTCCCAATCCATGCGCTATTTTCGGCACATCGGAATATTTTAAACCGCCTACGTCAGTGTTCTTTCTGTTGCACCGGATCAAAAATCTGATAGTGGCAACCAGTAGTTTCTTCTCTACTAATATTCGAGCATTCTACTATACACGTATATCTTATCCATCATCAATGTTTGCATGCCATGTGACCAATCAGGAAAAAAACTAATCAACGAAATAAATGTCATTAACACATTTAGGAACCTTCAAATGCTGACTGAGTCAATGAATATAATTGCAATAATGAATTACACAATGTTAGAATGTGCCACTATTCTTTAGTGTCAATTTCCCTTTCAATATTCTTTCTATTAAAAGGATAATCATTTGTGGTATTGCTAGTCCAAATCATTACAATTTAGCTAAATGAATGTCAGAAATTTAGAATTTTTTTAGCTACACATACGTGCTTACTGATTTTTATGTCATTTTGCTGATTTTTATGTCATATTGCTGATTTTTCAATCTTTTACAGGATCTGAAAGATATGCGTCATCTACTTGTGTCTAGCACTTTGCGCAAGGACACAAGTTGTTTAATTCTGTTAGTCATATTCAGAATTTGAGGTCAAAAAATATGTGCATAACACAAGTGGATCTTAATCGAGAATTTATGACTTGAACATTTTGTGCGAGAAATCTAACTTTCGTATACCATGTATGAAAGACTAAAATTACATTATTTCCCAAAGAGTAGAAGAGCTCTTCCACTCCTACTGGAACTAAATATGGTTGATGCATCAAATTCACAAACATTAAATGAGGAATGAACGGCTGAGAGGAAAGTAGTTTATGAGTTGGGGATTAGTTTTGTACATACTAAATGAAGAAAATTTGAAAAAAATGAATTATATTAAGAATTATAGCCAATGGATCTAAAGAATATTTCATTTTCCGAAAAAAGCTATCTCCAAAATATACTAATCAAACCCAAACGTGATCACGATAGAGACACCACATACTCATCACAAAAAAATTAGACAGCGGGACCCTAAAGTTTTGTACCGCCCCTTGTTCATATCTCCACGTCAGCTCCACTTTGATCCAATATACTTTTATCTTTGAATCAGGCTTTATGTGACATAAGATCCAATTTCTTGGAGCCTTATCACCTTGATACCTCAAAGCTGATCGAAGCCTTGTCTAGGTTGAATCACTTGGTCGCCGCTATTAAGGTCTGGTCATCTTTGACTTAGATTTTACTTCACATATAGAAATATAAGTACACCGCACCTGTCATCAACTTCTCTTAGTAGCCTCGTGACAACACGATAGCTTAGCTCAAATTGTTCGATAATACTGCGAACTTCGGATATCGCAACCTCAACCGACTTATTGTTTTCAGATGTCGCTTCACCGTGAATCTTCTGAGATTTCAATACGTGTTGCACGCATAACTTTTGCATACAGCCCTGAGAGAATTGAGGGCGCTTTTTGGTAGGTCCAGATCCTTCGCAAAGTTACGAACTTGTCTTGGATCAACTCATATGTGAGAGGTATACTGTAATTTTCCTATCAACTAATCCAGACTCATGAATCCTTTTTTTCACTTTTGGTTAGTTGACGTGAGGAGTACCTTAGGCTTGAAAATCGGATGCATCCATGTTTTCAAAGCTATCTTGCATATTGAAAATATTTTGTATGACATTTTTCAAGATGGCTTTGGGAAGTCGTCGAGGCTTACAGTTATTCTTGTATGAGCTTTGTATTTCGCTGTGTGTGTTGGTGTATTGGACGCTTTTGTTCGTTGGAAATTGAGGAGCCATGATGGAAAACACTTAGTGACTACATCGACAGGAACTTGGCTGAATGCGAGAAGGGAAGACACGACGTTCAAACAAAGAGGTTGACCACTTTTATAACGATCATCCAATTCACTTCACTGGTGATTTCGCACTAAAGGATTGCACTACGTCTTCTTGACTGGAACCAGCTTTCCATCCGGAAGGCGTTAATTCAAAACGAAAGAGTTAAGTGCACGATATATCTGACCACGCGTCTGATGTTGTGTGCGTCTCTGCAACCTCGAAACCTTAATTCCTTGATTATTAGAACCCTAGGTCAATCAACTTAACTCGTGGATACTCTGCTCGTTCCGTTCATATATCTTTGACGTACCAAAGAAACCACCTCTATGAGTGCGAGTCTAGAACCGAAGTGCCCAAGAGGGTTTGCGGACAACAGCAAAAGAGAAATTTAAAACAGGTAACGATTCAAGTATCGCGATCTCATAAGGCATGTGAACAACACAGAAATCATAGAGTTCAACAGCGCACACAACGGAGTAGACTCTCTTTAACAACCAGAATAGTGTAACCTTCACGAGTTTAAGACACTATACTCAGTTTCTCAATACACAGCAGATTTCTGTAGAACAGAGGCAAATAATCACGTAGTGAATTTTGAGTGACGAAGAATCTTCGACCGTCCAAATATTTAAGCACTTAAGAACCGTTAAACAGGAGAAAATTAAGTCAAGGATCCTCGTTTTCAAGCCTCCTCGAACACCATCAAGGAAGCTTGCCATGGAACATCGGAATGCATTATAAAAAATTGAGACAGGTGACACATAAAGACGTGAGAAGACGTGGACACTGAGCAATAACGAACGAAAGCTTGTTTGCTGCCCAGTACTAGGAATATACATGGAATCGATTTGTCTAGTACATTTCGTCTCTGCGATCCCTTCTATCGTCTCGCCTATCATCCCTCCTGTTGTAGTACTCCCTGGACAGACTTCGTACGGGCGACCTGCTCCTCTCCCTCGCATCCCTTCCCCATCTAGCTCTCGGAGGAGGACTGAATCGCCTCTCACTCCTTGGGTCTCCTCTCTCAAGGCTCCTCCTCTCCCGATACCGATCCTCCCGTTCTCTATCTCGTGGACCAGGACTGCCATACAAAGCCCTCGATTCGAACGAAGGCCTTTCAAATCTTTCTCTGTCTCTGTAGTCTTCACGCTCCCGAAAATCCTCTCTATCTCGAGGGTGTCGCCCTGGCCTGAAGTCCAATCTGTCTGCAAGACGGGTAGGAAGACCATGATCCCCAAAGCGGTCACTGATGCGCCCGGGTAATCCGTGGTCAAAATCTCGAGGTCCACCACCTCCACCTCTACCACCCCAGGGTCCAGGAGGACCACCAAATCCACCCATGCCACGCTCGATACCATGCCCCAAAGGAGGACCGCCCATGAAAGGAGCATGCGGAGGTGGTCCCCGGAACCCACCCCCGCCAGGACCTCCCACTCCGAGGCCTATGACCATATCTCTTCGAGGCTTGTTGCAGTTGTTGCAATGGGTCCTTCGCGCAAAATTGAGATTCCCACATCTGCACATGACGAGATCCGCTTAAGACTTCCTCCTTGTCATCAATACGTTACATCGTCCAGACGTAGTTAACAAGCCTGAAATCCGGATCTTTGATGCAGCACAGCGAGCATACGGACGCCTATCATTTGACGGGTACCATACTGTGGATCAGAACGAAACGAGAATGGACAGGGGGTAGAGCTAAAGGAACAAACGTTGGTTCAGAACAAATCCAGTCTCCTTCTCGTGGAGTCACATTTGGGTTATTTCGCCCAAAGCTCTCTCCTCCGGCTGGGAAGTCGTCGACTACGCCGCCATACACACCTCCGAATCCTCTTCCAAACGGTGGCAAACCCTGCCCAATTCCCAACTGGGGCGGCACATGTGGGGGACCAAATCGGTCGGAGTGTCTACCGCGTCCCCTTCCTCCGCGATAACCTCGCCCTCTTGGTGGGATATCTCTGTCTCTGTCATAATCGCCTCCGTATGAACTAGAGCGCCTGTCTCGAAAGGGACTAGCGCCAGGAATAGGGGCCTGTCCGAGTGAGACCTGTATTTTACTACCCTTGTACTCATAACCTGAAAAATACAATCAACCAACTCAATACAATATGTGCTTGCCTAGTTGTAGACAGCTTGTTTCGGCGAGGCGAGGCGACAAACTACCCTAAAACTCAAAACCTGAAAGATACAATCAACCAACTCAATACAATATGTGCTTGTCTAATTGTAGACAGCTTGTTTCGGCGAGGCGAGGCGACAAAGCAGTCCTTGGTGCTTGGTCTTCTTACAGTAAAAAAATAATTAATTTGACCCAAAAATCACTACAACAAATACTTTAAGCGATTTAGCAGTTGTAACAGGTAGTAATTTCACAATACCATTGAACCAGCTAACAATTCCCGTTGCTGAGCGCGGGTCGTCCAAAACCACTTCCGCTTCTTGTGCACCCGTTTCCTTGTCTCTGAACAGCTTCACCATTGGCAGCCCCGACTTGCGCTCCACCTAAATAACACATGACGTTCGTCAGAGGTAACACCATATGAAACGAATGGTTCCTGCTTGTCTCCCCAAATAATACTATAGATGAAATCTACCAGATATCCCAGTTACTTTTCCACTAAAATTATTTTCAAACTTCGCATACGAAAAAAAGTACCAACCTTGTGCTCCAGTACAAATGGACTTCAACATGCTAACAAGGTACAACAAACGGCAACTCCATGGGTAAAGAGGGAAAAGTAAGATGAATCCATTCCTTATGCGGAATTCGGGAACTTGCATCGGTTCCAAAGCCCCGCAATTCAGAAAACGACTCGGAACGTAGACTGAAAGATAGACAAACGAAAAAATGGAAGGAACGCAGCAATCTCAGATAATAACAATGGTGGTCGGGGGTGTAAGCATTCAACCTTGATGGCACCGGCTTCGGCAAGTAAGGCTGCTAAGCCCTCCTCAGTCACCGTTTCGGGTAAATTAGTAATGAAAATTGTGTCTGCTCCTCCGCTGCCATTTCCTGCGCGAAAAGAAAACACAAACTATTCAGAAAAGAAAGGAGGCATGAATCTTTGTTACACTACTGACTCGGCAGTTGACTTGACCAGTGACGGGGAGGAAAGAGAAATCGTGGGCGCCTTAATGCTCAAGAATTACTGTTCTGGACAAGCAGGTCTTTCAAAGCAAGCCAACAAACAAACATAAAGCTGAAAGCAAGCTGTCGGGGCATTACAAGAGGTACTTGAAATAGTCTGTGGCAGCAGCGAGTGCCGAAAGTGACTCTGCTGCTAGAAACTCAAACGTCTGCTCGGCCTCATTGTGGCGGCACCAGCCTATATCAAGCTCCGAAGGGCCAGTGCTAACAGACAACCATATGTAGTAGACAACATTTGCCATCTCTTTTAAACAACCCACTACTTCGTTGCCCGAAGCTCACACAATGCCTCAACCAAGATGGTTCCCATTTCCCTACGGTTCCCTAGAATAATGCGATATTCCTTGCGATGATTTGCAAGCTCCGCTAGTTGATGGACGAAAGGTCGTCATTTCTCGAACAGACAGCTCTGAACCAGAGGCTCTTCACACCATTAAAATGCGCACACAACCTTTCGTCCATCCGACCATTGCCCCACGACATACACGCTAATCCATTGACTGACCGGTAGATGTCCTCTTCAAGACCTAAAAATACAACCATTTACACAGCCTCGGGTAGGCGACAAACTGTTACTGTTATCTTGAGCTCAATGGCCCAGCGACGGCGAAGCACAACTTACACAGTCCTCCGATCAATGTCAGCAAAGCGTGCTATAATTTTCGAGCCGAATGTTCCTACGACGATGCCTATCCGGTAAAACAGCCTACCTCCATCTTCCACCCAGGTATTACCGTCCAGTTTTCCAATCCAAACCACAGACCCATCCTGATGAGCAGAACTTCATGTCAATGAGAAAAGGCCAAAATAATAGGAACTGTAATTCTCTCCAAATATATCCGGCATCGTGCCAAAGGATGCCTATATATCGATTTCGAACCCAAATCCCCGGCCCTCCTTTCCTTCCCCTCCAACCCGGCCGTGATGCCCCAGAACATGCATGTTGGACGCAAAATCAAGCAACTCAAATTAGCCGGCAGCTCTAGTGGACATTGCTTCCAGCAATCTTCCAACACTAGTCGACTTCGTGGACACCTTTGGCCATAGCCTGTATACCCTCAATTCGAAGCTGTACAGGCTTTTGATGGAAGCTCTGAGTGATAAAGGATTTTAGACCGCTCGCAAACTCTGCGGAACCGTGTTCGGAAACCAGACCAGAGGAAGGGGAAACCGATGGCTAGGGGAGGCAATAAGGCGCAAGGGGAAGCTATTGCTTTTGTTAGATACAACCATACGTGTCAGCGATTTCTTCCAGTTCCTTTGTCAGGCTAAGTGAGACCTTCAGCATCAGTTAAGGTAAAAGTAGTCCATGAGAGGAGAGGAGAGCTAGACTGCCGCTTGTAAACCAGTTGAGCTACAAGAAGTTACTGGCCTTCCAACAACCGCTCGTCCTATCAATAAACCACCAGCCAATATCGACGAAAGATCCAATAGCCATTTGAGCGATTTGAAAGGCAAACCTGCAGAGCCATATCTGTGATCCCGATCATAGCCATCGTCAATGTGATCAGCGTCATCCCCCTCATAAGCCGTCTCTTTGCGAAATCCAACACCGGTCTCCACAATTCGGACAATGCTACTTGGCACACCGTGCCCATGCCCATTCCGGTCCCCGTACACCTCCCTCTCTCTATTCCGATCTCTCCCGCGTTCTCGGTCCTTCTCGTGATCTCGTTCGCGTGAACGGTCCCTATTGTCTCTCTCTTTATCCCTATCCTTGTCGTGGTGCGTATCGCGTTCACGGTGATGATGCGAGTGGTGGCCATGATGATGCCCACTCGACACCCCGTGATCCGAATGCACATCCCGATCGGCCATTCTCTTCTCCCTCGAATCCACACTGAGGATCTTAGTCCACGCGGCCTTCTCTGCGACTCGGTGCTCCCCCTGCCTCCCTACCGGCCTAGCACGAACTCAAGAAACCGCTCGGTCGAGACCCTGCACTGCGACCGACAATCGAGAACCCACAAAAGTCAGATACCACGCTCCGGGTGCCTGCTCTGCGCGTCGACCATCATTCTTGCCCTGCTGCAACTACCGCCCCTGCCGCTGCTACAAAGATCGCCGGTGGCACCCAAACGAACGAATCGAACCGCAAGATCTACAATCACAGGATGCACCAGCTTCGACTCGGCGACCACACTTTCATCCCTCAGTCGCAGGCTCGCTGGCTCGCGGCGGCAATGGACTCCGAGCAAAGAAACAGGCAAATGCAATGAACCTTCCACACCTTCCTCTCTCGTCTCGTCGCCCTCGGCCCTCGACCTCGACTCACTTCGTGCGCTTCACTTCGTCGCTCGCTCGCTCCCTCCGCGGCCGCTTCATTTCGCCTCCCTCGCGAGTCTCGAAGCAACTGGAATCCGCTCCGCCTCACAAACCGAACGTTCCTTCCCTCCGCTCCGCTGCTCCGCCAACGCCAAGACAACCGGCCGCTGCTTGGCTGCAAACGGAGCTCTCGTGCTGGCGCCTAATCCAACGGTACGTCACCTCTAAGACTGCGGAGCGTGCACGCCCGCCGTGCGATGCCGCTCATCTTGCCCTGGACGATTCGACCACCAGCCGCTTCCGGGCTGCTCAGGGACTCACACGCGCGGGCGGCGAGCGGGCGGGCGGGCATCGTCTACCAATTTCTTCGTCCGTCCCCATGATTGGCTCATTTGGGCACAACCCGTCTTCATCGACGGCCGGATTCGCCATTGCCCCTTCCGTGCACATGTGTCGTTCCTGTCGACCTGGCGCGCTGATGTGCGTAGATATTTGCTTCCGGCCCCCACTCGCCAGATGGTTAAAAGGCTTTGCAACCGACGGCTCCGATGGACAACACGCGACCGATTAGGGCCCGGCTTTTAAGAAAAGTGCGCTTTTCTCATTCTATACAATTTTGACGCATTATGAATTCTTGTGTCAGTTGCGAATCCCTTAACACGCATAGTTCATGATCCTTCCCATGTGGATCAAACTCTTGAATGCTTGTTTCGAAGTTATTGCCTTGTGTGTCGATGGAAGGAATAAAAACCTAAAGGCCAAAGACAACATTCTTTTCCGGTGCAGTCTTTTCTTTTGGCACGGACTAACCGACCGACAACCAGGAGTGGATTGAACAATTATGCACCCTCTTCCTCTTATTGATTTATATATAGGGATTAACAAGGATTAATAATTAATCCCTGCTTATCCAAGAGTAACTATTCTCATTGCAGGGAAGATAAACTATCAACAAATTCATAGATTTGGTACTTATTTACTCAATGCCAACGTTCCAAAAACTAAATTTATCGTTGTTTTCTTTACATGTTAAAACTGGATGTACAAGTGTTAACTTTGTCTGCTACATACGATTCTTGTAGAGCAGAGTAGTACTCAAAAGACCACCCATTCGAAAGAGGAGATCTTGATAGAAGAAATGCCTGATGAACAATCATTGCTCATAAACTCCAGTAGTTTAAAGAAATGAGATTCAAGATATATGATTTAATTTACTCGATTCTAAACAACCCAACCGTAACTTCACATTCAACTGCCTTGAAATGGTATGATTTTTTTTGAAATACAAACATATGATGGTCGCAAATGATTCATCACATCTATATTATTGTGCATCTACATCAAACTTCATATAAAAGAAAAGAAGAATATAATCTGATAACAAAAAAATTATAGTTGAATCACCCATTTAAGTACTTCAATCATTTTAGTTTCAACGTTTCTAGTGTAATTTAAGGGTGTCAACAAATCGTTAAAAAACATCTAAAAAACACTAAATGTATATAACTTAGTAGATTTTTCTTTTCAAAAAAAATAATTTTCAAGGAATCATCTCAATCATATTAGTTATATCTTTGCTGTTAAAGGTAAAAGTTTGTGGGGTACATTTTCCCAAAAACATTCGAAGTTATGAGATAATCAATCTTCATGAAGCTTTTATATATCATCAAACAAACTTGTTAAACATGCGATTAAGACAATTTTGAAATTTGAATTTTCGTGTCTATTAATTTATGAAAGAAATATAACACAATGAAAGTTAACACTCGGTTTTTTGTTCTAATAATTTATATTTAACCCAAAAACTCATTAAATTTGTAAATATCCTAAAATAAACACAATTTTTGTTAATCTCATTTATCGAACTGCATTCAAAATTTAAAAATATACTCCTTAGTAACAAACATAAATGAAAACATTTCAAATTTTTATTATCTCAAAAATACTTTTTTATCAGATTTTTTAAGTGAATAGAGTTTCTTGTGCTAAAAATGTAAAGTATAATGCAAAAATTACTGTAATATAATTAAAGATATTTATTAAAGTTTTGAATCTTTTCAATTTTTTGAAATTCATTTTATTATTACTTTCAGTAGTTCAGATTTTCTGATTAATATATTTAACAATTTAATAAAAATATTTTCTATATAGTATTTCAACACTAATATGTGCACATACTAATTTTGATCATCATACAAATATAAAAGATACTGTATAACAGTAGATAAACTTTGATATCTTTTGATACAATCTTGCATTGATGATTTTTCATCTCTGATAATATTTCAATGAATGAATTTCAATATATCTTTAGTATAAAATAAGTAAAATTTTATCTTTTTTATAAATTCAATTATTATTCAATTTCTAATTTTTATTGTATTCCAAATCTCACTAAAACTTATTTATATTTGCGATTGCTTTTATGATGCTTTCAGATCAATACATACAATAATGAAACTAACAAATCATGGGAAAAAATTCTAAAAAATTAATTGTATCAAAGGTCAACATGTATATCATTGTAATTATTGATACTCTCAAAAAACATGTAGAAATTATTGTTTTTTGCAATTTTGATATTCACATATGTAATTAAAATTTTTCGATTGTTCATATCATACCTACATCATTCAATTGTGAATTAATACTAATTTTTATTCATATATTATTCTAATTTATTTATAACTAATTTTGATTAAGAGTTAACTTAGATTTTTTTATATTTAAGTTTTCTTTTCCCTAGTTAATAAATATGTTTAAACTTTGAATACATCAAATAGCTCACAAAATCTTTCTATGACGATTGAAAGTTTTTAATTAATAAACTTTTTGGTTTTTGTGAATGTAGATAATGGAGATGAACTTGTATGTTAGATGTTGGATGTTATAAAAATAAGATATACGAAAAAAGTTCACTTGAAGATACAACATAAACTTCAAAGATGAAAGTTAAGTTCAGTGGCTAAAATATTCTTTACACACATATTTTCAAGAGTTAAATTTTCAAAAGATCTCACATGACTAATCCATTAAAATTTTAGTGGATTGATGACAAGACATATCTACTTCACAAGAATAGAAAAAAATCACATTCTGAATATCCATTTCACTTATAATGAATTGATGACATGACAGATATATCTAACACACATGAACGTATGACGTGTAGTTTTTTAATAACACATTAATTTATATTTAGCAAAAACATATATTACCGATGTGTCTATGTTGATTTATACATGTAAAGTGTATAAAAACATGAAAAATATGAATAGTTTAGTATAAGTCACTACAATCTAAATCTCGATTAATCTCTAGGTTACATCTAACAAACTAAAGAAGTTAAAACTATGATTAAGAATGTGCATTTTTGTGTTCGTGTGAATATTTGTGCATTTGAATATGTAGTTTGATTTTCCTTGTGATAAAAAATTCAAAATATATAAAAAAAGCTGAATATAATAGTTTTCAAAATATTAAAAATATAATTTAAATAGAAATAATTAATAAAAATATTTTTAAAATAAAGAAGGAATGTTCATATATTCAATTGCGTAATAATTTTTTATAAAATAGTAAATTGCTGGAATGAAATTGTGAAAATAAATCACACATTTAAAAAATAAAACATTATACGTAAAAAAATAAAGCTCATCACACAAGTTTATTCTAAAATATGTTAGAAATGCATGATTAAATTTTGAATATATTAATCTTAATTCACAATATATTATAAAACTGCTTATTAAAAAAATAAATTCATTATCAAATAATGTTATTTTTTTATGAAACGTAGTTTTAAAAATTTGCAACAGATTTATATAGTTTGATAATATTATTATGACTTAAAATTGTTATTTTTTATAAAATAATTTAAACAATATTTATCATAATTTAAGGTTCAATCTGTATATTATAGCTACAAAGACTTGAAATTTATATTTACGTTAATTTATCGACTCATCAAAATCTGTCTGTAATATCATTGAGTAAGTTCATATACATTCATGTCAATCAAACAAGATTTTTTAGATTACACGTGTATTAAAAATTTAATATCATGAAGCATATGATAAATATATGCTTTCATAGAAAATGGAATGCTTAAATTTTGAGTCTTTCAATCAATTCACTAAGATTTCATAGTTGATTTCAACTAGTGATAAGAGTTATAAAATTATTGATACAAGTTAATTGTCTGGTTTTGTTTTGATTGATATCAAGTTTTATCCAAATTTTTCGTTTGAATCTTGTATTCGAAATAAACTATTACAACTTGACATATTTGTTTGCAGGTAATACTGATATATTTATTTTATTTTAATAAAAACTACAGATCGCGCGTGAAGAATAAAGGTCTACAAAGGTTGCTTCAATGTCTTTATAAAACCATTTATATATTATCATTCTAATGCTACTATATATGGTGTTCAAAATTTTCTAATTATGATATTTTTGAAACAGATTTTTTAATTAAATACATACATATTTGGACATAATTCAAATATTTAAATATATATTATCATATTAATTATATTAAAATTTCATTCAAATAAATATTTTTATAATCTGATACTTTCATTAAAATTTTAAAATTTATTATTTCACTTTTTTAATAGTATTTGTTATAAGAATCTTAAGTTTGAATGAAAACTTTCAAAATCGTCAATAATCCTAGAATCAAAAATTTAAAATAGAAATTTAGTAATTTTGTGTGAAAAAAATTAGCGATATATTAAATTTTGAATGATTGCAATTATCAGCATAAATATTAAAACTAAAATCCAATAAATATACTGTATTGTATCATTTTATTCTATGATTAAGGTTCAACTATTGTGCAAAAAAAAAGTGCTTCAACAATCCATTGTTTCTTAGATGCCATATACATGGAAGTTGATGTTGTAAGCTGTTAGTATATTAAGTAATATAATAAAGTATTATAGATCTTTATGTAAAATTACTTTGTTGGTATTATTTATTGTATAAATAAAAAAAAAGTCTGTTCAAATTCATGAAATCTATTCTCATGCAAATTTTAGAACTATGTAGTGATCTTTGAATATTTTAAATATATATTTGAATGAAAAAGGGTTAGATGATTTGTAATCTT